AAATAAATTTGCCAATTCTGTTAACAAAACCTGTGTCGAACGATATTAATCACCAATGTCTTATGGTATGTGTTAAGCTTTATATTATGTGTATGTATGTTTTAAAAGTATTTATTTGATTTTATTTACCAAAAAAATAACATAAAATGAGACCAGTTGTAAATATAATTTTAAAATCAATTTTATCATGCATTTCTTAGTGATATGATTTTAAAAACAAAAATACAATGACTGACCTATGTTTTTAAATATGAATGGATTAAATCCTTACTTGTTGCATCAAGGCAATAAAATATTTTAAAATTTAGGTCTTTTCGTTGTTGCTTTAATCTCTTCATTTGATTTGTTTCTGGGTTTTAAATCCTCTTATTGGTTTGAACATTTTCTTATATGTTTTGGATGTGTGTCTGTGTGTTTTGACCACAGCACTGACACTGACTGGGCAGATGGAGCTGACCTTCAGGTTAATGAATGTTGGAATGGAAGCTTAGACCTGCATCTTTTTGTCTGGGCAGGAGACTGAATACAGAGGTGCGAGCAGAGATAGACAGCAAGCAGAGGTGTGATTGAGGGAAGACCGCTGTATGTTTGAGTAGAGCTGAGGTTCATACAGCACGCTGAAGATGAACGGGTAGAATCACATTCAGTCTGGAAATGTGCATGAGCTCTGATAAGTTCACATTACACTCATTCTGGTTTTGTATTTTCAGAATTTTTAACAGAAGTTAAAAGAGGTTGTTTCAGTATCCTCCAGAAAGGGAGTGTAAAAACAGTGCAGAAGTTTCAACTCACACTGTGAAAATTGAATACCACACTTTTAATAAGTCACTACATCTAAAGTCAAATATAGACCTTAGATTTAGGAAAAAACTAGGAGAAAAAGAAGTTATAGCTGGAATCCCAGAGACGACATTGAGCAAGAAAACTTTGCAGAGCAGATCTTTTTTTCTTACTGCGTAAAGCAACTAGTGTTGGAAACAGGCAGTTACTTTGTGCTGAGTCATTTGTTTCAGTTTATTTAAATGATTTGTTGTAAAGATTTCTCCACCAAATCAAGTAGTTTATGCATTTAATTTGGCTTTAAAGTTTAAACAGGCATTGATCATGGTTTCATTCTTATTTTGTGTGCTATTTATAGAAATGTAGTCCTCTGTGATATTCCATTATTTTTCTACTTTCACCCAAACACCCTTTTGTACTGGACCAGTGATGCACCTTCTTTTGAGGCTAAACAGCTATGTGACTACTAATAGGAAACACTGCAGGGGTAAGCTTAATTATACCCAAAAGAGGCGGTGACTGAGCGACATCTGAACTGGACCTATGGTGAAGTGTTTGGTCGGGTTGATGATTTAATTCGTCTGAAATCTACGACTGCCTGTTCTATGATTTTTGATAGATTTTTCTGGTGAGCTAAATTAATTAAAAGGGTCTAGGAAAATATGACATGGAAGTCATGCTTTTGAATTATTTCTCTCAGGAAAGTATTTAAAGTTTAGCAAAGACCAAAATCAGTGTTTTGTATTGGCCCTGACCCTTTCAAAATTTTTATAAACTGACAAACTAATTTAAAAAATTCTTAAATTGCAGTCATGAAAAGAAAGAAGAAAGCCTTTAAGACTGACTCAGATTCCCAACATTTCTCCAACAAAATCGAATTTTTCTGAACTCCATGACCTGATAATTTTACATATCCAGTGAGCTAATAAGGCCCCTTCTTCACCAACACATAGCCTTAGGATGGAAAGTGCAGAATTCAACCACATATATGTTTTGATTCATAGGAATCAAAATAAGATTAAAATATTTCCAAAAGGCCCCAAGAGTATCCATGTATGACTTTTTTATTTTTATTTATTTATTTTATTTTTTAGTTTCCAGGAAGTACCCCTTCTCTTTATTAGACTCAACAGAAAAAGGCCTGTTGTGTGCATGAAAAAAATGCATGCATACAACAGGCGCAGAAAGGCTGGAGCTACATTAAGGGGTTATTTTCACTGACAATATATAAATCTATGGTTATGAAACCACAGATTTATATATTGTCTCTCATCATTTTATTAATTCTGTCCTAGTATTTTATTGACAAGCTAGAGACAGTACTGGGGTGACATTTACATGGCCTTGGTTTAAGTGTATAGTTTTCAACAACTCAGTTTCAGCTTATATGGATCAAAACTCTCATACTTGCATAAACAAACCATAAAAGATCAATATTCAAAGTCAGCAAGAAGAAAAAATATATATATAATTTTTGTGCATAAATCAGTGGGGCAGCTTTAAAAAGCCCTGCAAAGTAAGCAGTCCTCTTACCCTGTCCAGTGAGTTTTCCATTGCACAGGCAGAATTAAGTCTTCAAGTGTAAATAAAAGAAAACTGAACTGCATCATTTGGGTTATTTAACGTCTTAAGCTTTTATTATGCTAAGAGTTTTAGGTTCTTTGAATCTCCCATTGGAGAGATTCTTAAGGTTATGAGTGTTTTACACATTCTAGTTCAAAGCACATGATCTCCATACTATGGAAGTAAATCTGTGTCGCTGGGATTTGAATAAAAAATGCCACTGAAATTTAAATGTTGTATGTTTGTTCTTACTGTTTCAGTGTTAAAATATATTCAGAACACATTTTTGACCTAAAAAAATTTCATTGTCATTATTTCTACACAGTTGAAATTTCATTTCTAATTCTTTCTTTATATCTACTTTGGTTATTTGAACTAACTTTTTAAGATATTTTCTAGTGTATTTCATGTTGGTATAGAAGTTTCAAATAAGTGATTTTATTATCCAGGTCAGGAGATAGTAATGTGAATCAATTTTCACATTGACCTAGGTTGGTTTGTTAACCTTTTATTTTTGTAAATTAAATTATTTATTTAAACTGATTTGCTTGAGAGAGAAAAAAGAGCAGGAAAAAGATAATTGCTTCATAGAACAACAGGTAATGTATTTTCTAATAACTAATATGCATTAAAATTATCTCAACTACAATTTTCAGTTAAATTGGGTAATATTGTCTAAACCCCTGTATTACATACAATTTTTGTTTGTTGGGCTTTCTCTTTTTTTTTCTCTGATGATAAAAATGAAATATGAAATCAAATTCAAGCAACTCTGAAAAACCTCCTGCTCTTAAATACTATTTATTAGAATCATAAACCAATGTTCATTATAATATAAAATGAGAATAATATAAAATATATAGACTATTACTTGAAATCGTCCGTGGATAATGTGGCATCGAGCATTCTCCATAATCACTGTTTTTTCTCAGTTATATATTTAATAAGTAAAACATGCAAATAATGTTATTGATGGTCCTAGTCCCTATATTTAGCCCCCCAGTTACAAAAAGCACTCAAATGTTTAACCAATCTCCAGCTTTAACCACATAAGTAAAATTGAGTATTCTGCACCTCTTTGCAATTGATTACATTTAGAAGTGAGGAACTGCTTGGATTTAAAAACTGCTGACTCCTTTCTCTTTGCTTTTTGCTCTCTCCATCTCCTTCCCTCGTCCCATCACTTAGTATTTCCCTCACTCCTTGAAGTGTCTGTTGTGATGAGGTTTATAAAGCAGAAGGGAAAAGGGAGACTCATTAAAACCCTCCCCTTTCATTTGTTTTTATTTTTACTTCATCTTCTCACCATCTTCATCAGATGAAATTAGGAAGGAAAAACCTTCACAGCAAAAATTCACATCCCTAGCAGCCATTAAATGCATTAATACTTTCATTATCACCATAATCTGAGACAGTGCAGATAATACAATGCATGAACAATGATGACAGCAAAGATCTGGGGTATGGCAAAATGAGCAAACAGGGGGTGGTTAGTTCAGTATTAAAGGACTGACAGCCAGAGAAAGAAATGTTAAACAGGAAAGCGGGATGTCAGGCAGAAGCAATGGATGTAGCCGCTGAGTTAACAGAAAATTGGATCAGTGATGCTTTCAAGGCAGGAATGCCATGCAGCAAAGAAGCCTGGGATAGCACAGTAACTGATGGAAGCAGTTTCCTTCAGATCTAAGTAATCACCTTGTCTTCTGTAGCTCGTTGCCAAGAATGACAATTTGTGCACGTCTGGGTGCTCGTTTTGCGGGTGGGTTATTAGATGGCAGGCGGGGTAATACAGTCCATTTCTGCAGTGCATTATGGGAAAAAAAGGGGATGGGAGCCAGACATGAAACGTGCAGAGATTTACTAGCTTTGCAGAGGAGCTAAAATAGCAGTATTCAAGGCAGTTGATGCATAGCTTCAATGGGACCAAGACGGGATACAAGCAGGTTGCCTCTGAGGAATTAGGAGCTGTTTTATTATTTCTTTAACCTAGATGAATTAGATAAAGCATGGTCGGAGAATAAGAAATAAAAAAACCTCATCAGAAGAAAGGAAGGCAAGGGGGAAGTGTTATTGGTTTATACTAAGAGGATTTGTCTGTTCTTCAATTTTGACTTTACGTGTCTACGTGCCTTTCTTGTTCTTCACGTGACATAGCTGAGGGTAAGTGTAGGTGTCTGTGAAAGATCTGTGCAACTGCGGTGAGCATGATTTACCCGGCTTTTAATTGTGTTTTATTTATTTTCTCTGGCTCCTTTTTCTAGTGATTTCTTCTGTTCTTTCTCTATGCTCTTCCATAAAGATAGTGACTCTTCTGCTGTTGTTGCTTTGACATTCATTCTTTTCCTTTATCTGAACTCCAGATGTGATGCGTTTCTGTGTGATATTCCCTCTGGGTACCAAGAATAATTAAGTTGCAGGGATCAATGGTAGTCACTATTAACAGTGGATAAAATTATTAATCATTGTAATGGTTTCAGTGTTCATACTGCAAACAAATCTTCAGATGGACTTACTTACCATTTACCAATCCATTGTTGAAACCCTTACGATGAAAGTTTTGCATTGTGTAAATTGAAAGAATGATTAACCTAGATGCAACTGACCAAGCTGAAAATAGGTTAATATTAACATTATATCTTCTTGTCTTCTGATTGCAGGTCCAGGAATGGCTGTGTCTGAATTGTCAAATGCAGCGAGCTCTTGGCATTGATATGACCACGCCTCGCTCCAAAAGTCAACAGCAGATTCACTCTCCGTCCCACCAAGCCAAGCCCCTTGTACAGCCACAGCAGTCCGCTCCGCAGCCAACAAAGCCAACAACTGCTGCTCAGCCCAAACCCCTGGCACAGAGTCAGTTTACCCATCAGCAACAGCAGGGGCAACAGCAGCAACAACGACAACAGCAGCAACAACAACCTCAGTCCCAGCCATATGGCCAAACTAACCCTTACTCTCAGCCTCAATCCCAGCCATACCCACAATCCCAGCCCCATTCTCAATCCCAGTTGCATTCCCAGTCCCAACAAAACTCGCAGTCTCAACCTTACTCTCAGCAACAGCCATATTCACAGTCCCAGCCATATTCCCAGCCCCAGCCGTACTCCCAGTCCCAGCCATATTCCCAAACCCAGCCATATTCCCAGTCCAAGCAGTATCCTCAGCCTCAATCTTACCCTCCATCCCAGCCAGGCCCCCAAATGCAGCCTCAGACACAACCAGGGCTTGGCGGCCCCCAGTCTAAGATGACACCTTCTCAGCAGAACATGAGATCTGACCCTTACTCCCAAAGAGGTCTTGGAGCTCAAGGAGGTGTTGGAGGTCCAACAGGTGGCTCTGGTCAGCAAGGCGGTCCTCGTATTCCACATCCAGGGGCCGTACCACTCCCTGGGTTGACGAAAGCACCCTCCCAGCCAGATTTGGGTCGAGGTTCTCCAATGCATCAATCTATGACAAGACAGCAGGATCAGACCAGAAGCGCTGGATCTTCCCCGGCCCACCGACCTCAGAGTCAGGCCCCCGCCCAGGATGGTCTGACAAAACTTTTTGGCTTTGGGGCATCGCTTCTCAATCAGGCCAGTACCCTGATTAATGTTGACCCACTACCCACAGCCTCAACGCAGCCAAGCCCTTCACGTGGTAAGGTGGTGTTCAGCAATGCAACTCCAGACAACAAATTGCAACAGCAAGGAACCAGTGGGACCAAACCTTTCAGTACAGGTGGTCCCCATGCTCCTAGCCAAATGGGAGGTCCTAAGGCAGCAGGTCAAGGTGGAGGTTTTAGTGGGCAAGCACAAATGGGGGGACCTTATCAACCAAGCCAAATGGGAGGTCCTCAGGCATCCAGTCAAACTGGTGGTGTTCAGGGGCGAAATCAAACAGGTGGTCCCCATGCTCCAGCTCAAATTGCAGGTACCATTGGTGGACCTCAAGTGCCAACCCAAAAGCAACAGCAACAGGCTGGTCCCCAAAAACAGCAGATGACACCACAGCAGCCATTTGCTCAAAGTCAAAAAGAGCAACAAGGACAACAGACACCTTCACCTCAGCAGAAAATGTTGCAGAAACAGGAGCCAGTATCAGTAACCTCTAGTGCTCCTGAACCAGAGAAGCCCAAGGTGAACTGTCCTCTTTGTAAAACAGAGCTGAACATCGGCAGCTCTGATCCACCTAACTATAACACCTGCACACAATGTCAGAGCCAAGTGTGCAACCTGTGTGGCTTCAACCCAACACCGCATTTGGTAGAGGTAAGAAAATAAGCTCTATTACTCCTGCAACCTCATATATGTGTGGAATTATGTTAGTAGCCATTTCTTTCACAACATATTGTTGCTCACATAAAGGAGCCAGAATACACAAATCCCCACCTATCTCTTCCCAGACAAATCAATATTGTTCATAACATGCTATTCATTCTCAGCTAGACTATTTTGTAATAAGATCCAAACCTCTTATCTTTCTGTTTGTTCTGATTTCTTCCCATTTTATGTTATTCTTTTGTTATCCTTCTCAATTTTACTTTTTGAACTATACATCTGATCTTTATTACATTCTTCTGACTGCTATTTGAAACACTAATTCCTTTCTTTCTACTGACTTCTATAAATCTAAATTTCAGTTTGCCTCAATTCAGAAATGGGCTACAATTGCACTGTTTTGATTGCTCCTATACTAGTTATTCATTTTAAATCAATTAAACTTTGATTAATATTATCTTGTTCTTCATTACTTTAATATAATGATTTTTCCACACAAAAATGCCCACACATTCACTTACAAATAATAGAAAAATAGTAACATCATAAACGTATCATTCTCTATTTGTTCCTATTTTTACCCAGTAAACTGCACTGATCTTTCCGTAAAAGTTCAAAAAACAAAATCCACTGGACCTGGTTTCTAAGATTTGAAGACGTTTCGCCACCTCTCCAGGAAGCTTTCTCAATTCAAATGTCTGGATCCGCAGTGAGTTTGAGTCTTTATATAGACAAGGCCTTGTATTGCTTGGAAACATGCAAATGGAAACCGATGAGTGGGTCGTTTGGTTCCATTGTTAGCCTGTAATATCTACAGAGGACAATGAAATCAAACAACATAGGCCTTGTCTATATAAAGACTCAAACTCACTGCGGATCCAGACATTTGAATTAAGAAAGCTTCCTGGAGAGATAGCGAAAGTCTTCAAATCTTGGAAACCAAGTCCAGTGGATTTTTTTTTTTTTAGCTTTTACAGAATGACTATGACCTGGATGACTGAAAATCTTCATCAGCATATTGCACTGATCTTTGTTTGTGGGTTAAGCAAAGGGCATCAAATGATTTAGAAGCAAGTTTTATACGATTTAAGGTTTAAAGCTTGGTGACTTGGTCACAGCATAATCAAAATCGCAGCTCTTTTGGAGTTTACAGTAGCCAGGATCAATCAAAAGTGGTCCAGGAACAAAGAGAGAGGAACTGTCAAAAGTAGCAACAATACATATGTGGAGTGGCATCTGGCCCTTGTAGTCCTGTCCAACAGATAACCTACATTTGGTCAAATTGCTTAAGAGGTTATTGCTGGTGAAAGCTGTCAGGACGTGTTATACGTTTCTTTGTGTTGCATATGTGAATGAACAGACAGACAAGTTAGGGTAGAAACATTATTAGTACCAGTGGTTTCATTTCAGCAAGGAATGCAATACAAAATTGTTCCAGGGTGGCTTAATAACAACAACAACTAGTTAAGGCTTTGTTGAGTTAAACATATCTGCAGGGGTTACACATTCAGATGTCTAGTGTAGCCCATTCCTTCAGCTGTCAGGGTTTTTTTTTGTTGTTGCTAAAACATAAACTGTTAGGCAGGTAGTGAATATCTCATTTTATTCAAGCAGCACCTCAAGAATACCTTGAAGTCCACTCAAAAATCTTCTTAACTATTAATATTCATAGAGGTTTTGGTGGAGTGAATGCTTTCAAATAGTTTTTTTTTTGTTTGTTTAATTCAAATTACAGGAAGAAGAAGACAAATCTGTCTTGTCTTTGTACAGGATGCAGAGACATTTTTGGATGGAAATTCTCTCTATTTAGCATCACTGTCATTTATGCTATATTCTACTGCAGGCATTAATGCTCAAATCAGATTTTTCCCAGGAATCTGATTTATTTATGTGGTCGCTCCCATTGCATACTTAAAATGTCACATCTGACCTAAATGTGAAAATTGTTAGCCTTTAAACTGACCTGCATACATATAAGAACAATAAGGGTGGTCCGCTTAGTACAACAGGAAACACTGAGAAAGAGGTGCTAAAGTTTAAGTGCACAACAGAAGCCATTTATTGTGTCAGCGGTTGCTGTGCGAGAAAAACGTGAATAAATTGAGAGTGAATTTCTTTATTGTTGCATTTTAGGGAGACCTGACTTCCATTTTCAGCTAACAGCGGTTTGATTGTGGAGAGGGATGTTAACACTTTTACAGAGACATCTCTGTGTCATCTAACATCTTGCTGTCTCTCAACTGTGCGGTAATTTTTTTAGGCTCACGTCATTTTGGCTAAAGGCCTTCATTTCCTGCTAGGTAGCACAAAGTTGTGACAAATGTGATGGAAATTGATGTCAAAGTCACATCTAATCCTCTTTTCTCACATTCAAAAAGATCAGATACGAGTCAGATTCAGGACCACGTATGAACGTGGCTCAGTGTTCCCACTAGCTGGAAATCTGACCTGATCACTTGACCCCCCTGAAAAAACCTGATATGGGTCATAAAGGCCTGCCTGCAGCAGATATATTCAAGGTATGTCGTTTTCAAACAGTAGAAACAGCCTCCTCTAAAAATCAGTTTCTACCTTTACTCTCTGGGTACCAAACCTTCCTCACACAGCTCTAAAGAACCCTTTAAATTACCTTAAGGTTTGTCATGGTTTTCTTCCAGTGTTCTGCAAGCCTGTAAGGGCGGAGCAGATATAGCAAAATGAGAAAAATAGAATTTTTTGTTTTTTATCAATTTTGGAGTCATATTGAATCCATGGTCTACTTGATCTCATAGTTATTAGAGAGAAAGAATTGAAAGGAGCAAGATGTGATTGGTAAATTGAAATGGAAAAATAAATTCTAAAAAGAAATGGACATGAGGAAAGCAGCAAGGGGTGAAATTTGAGAAAACACTAGAAAGAAAAACCCACCAAGAGAGGTATAGTCAGAAAACATAGACATCCTATCCACCTACGCTTCCTTTGTTCCCTCCAAAGTGCTGCTGCTCATGGGACAATGAAAGGCGTATAAAGGTCCAGTGCTCCATCACCTCCCCTTTATCGATCCAAATGCAGTCTCAGAGTTGAAAGGAGAAGAAACAGCATGGAGAATAGAGACAGGAAGATAAATGGTATGTTAGGATGTTGCAAGGGATAGAACTGAAGAAGCGAGGACAGATGGAAAAAAGAATTGTCTTGTTCTTAGAAACAAAAGCTACTGTGAATGGAAAACAGACTGTGAAAAATGTACAACATCATAGATTTGTGCATTTCATTTATTTGTATATTAGTCTGTCTAGCACACTCATGTACACTTTTACTTTGCATTCATAGTCCTAGAAAAGTACAGCGTATAACCCTATGGTGTTATATGCTGGGATTGCCTCTGGCTGGACCCTGGCAGAATAGGTTAAATTAAACTGTTTCTGTAACTAACCATAGGACACCAATATACATGCATGGAAACACACATGAAAAGCTACAGTACAATAAGGAGCAAATACTGGTCAAAATGTTATTTGGACTGAGAGGATCTGTCATAACTCTACCAATCAAAACATGACTTAAAGGGATGGATGTTTAAATGTGGGTTAAGGTTTGTGACCTTTGAATAACAGAATGGCAGAAATGGTCATTTCATATAATAAGAAAAACGTATGCAGCATAATTATTACTCATTTAGCCTTTTCGTCTTTGATGACCCATTAAAGGTTAATCTTCGGGCAAAATAATTACTCATAAAAGTCATGTGAAAGTGGCACAGTTTATTTTGAAACCAAATAGTAATATTTGGATAAAAATATATAAAAGATATATTCATAACTGCATCTTAGTGCACACATTCCTTGCACTAATATGAGTTGATTATTAAGTTAACAACATGCCTTAACTAATCTAACTGACTGATGCTTTTTAAAATAGATTTTGCCAAAACAAAAAAGTGTTTGAATGCAGTAAAGTACAATGACAATGTATAGCTTTTTTCTTCAAAACATTTATAAATCAAAATACTAAGTCTTTCTGATGGAAAAAAAAGAAAAAGGAAACCACAAAAAGTCACAACTACACTACATGGCTATTTTAAACGAGTGTTTTTGTTGTATATTCATAATCATATGTTAGCTGTTTCAGCAGGAGGCAGCTACAATATCAGAATATAAAAAACAAACATTTTATGGAAGCTACTGATTCTCTGGTTGGCAAAAAAAAAAGTGAAAACAATGAATATTTGTAAATAATTCAGCACTTATATTTAATATCTAATTATGTTTGATATTCATTCAAATGAAAAGTTTAAAATAAAAAAAGTGCATTACCATTATAAGGTCTTTTTTTATTTATAGTTTTTTTAGACTGTGTATTAAAAATAGTGAATAAATCAATGGAAAATAAAAGATGAAAAAATAACAAAGGATAGAAATAGAAAAGTATAGATGCACTTAAAATACCCAAAGCAAATGTTTTCAGAATATCTGGTTTATTTAATAAATCCAATATAGAGAGCAAAAAAAAAAAAAAAAAAAAGACAACCTTGGACACAGATTTCTACAGAAGAGGATTAGGGCCACTGGAAAAAAAAAAGTTAACTGATTTTTTTAATTTTATTTCAGTATAGTATAGGAAAAAACTCAGAACTCTGACTTTGATCTCAAAATTCTGACCTTTTTCTCAGAATTCTGACTTTTTTTATTGTCAGAATTCAGTCAGAATTCTGAGATTAAAGTCAGAATTCTGAGAAAAAAGTCAGAATTCTGACTTTTTTCTCAGAATTCTGACTTTTTTTATTGTCAGAATTCAGTCAGAATTCTGAGATTAAAGTCAGAATTCTGAGAAAAAAGTCAGAATTCTGACTTTTTTCTCATGTTAAACTGAAATAAAATTAAAAAATCAGTTAACTTTTTTTTTTTTTCAGTGGCCCTAGTCCTCTTCCGTAGATTTTCTCCATAGTTCTATAAACTTTAAGGATTAAACTCCTTTAGTTGGTAACAGCTATGAACCAAAGTCTAGCTACATAT